GGGGGGGCAGGCAGAGAAGGCGAATGAGAGGGAAGGGTATGCATTTGAGGCAGAGAACAGGACAGCAAACCTCCCCAGGAGAGTGCATGGCTTATTCAAGGGGAGGAGTGATCAGCTCACTTTGGCCCACGTGTAGGACACGTGATGGAAAGCAGTCAATTCCTTTCAACAGAACTCCACTTATGCCTTTAAAATAGACTCCAATTGACATACATCGAAATATCTTCTATGTTTTCACTTCTGTATCTCACGCACACATCCCCTAGCCCACTCTTACTCAGTTCAGGGGCTCTCCCTTTGCTCATCGTCTACCAAATATAATAAAGAGTTAAGTTAGAGAAGAAGGCTGTAGATCTGCCATCTGAGTAAAAACGTGAGCAGGGCACAGACCTGTGCAAAATAGGTGGTGAGTGCTTGCGTTTCCATGTTGACTTGGCAACGACAACAGTCTTAAAAACAAAAAGAAAGTCACACATGGTCCTGCAAACCCCTCATCTGCTCTTCAGACTTATAAAACAGGAATTCTACTCTCCTTGCTCCCACCAGCAAAAAAAAAAAAAAATGGATATCAATATTCTTATTGATCCAATAGCAACAAAAGAACTACTTCTAACAACCCATGAGAATAGAGGAAGTCTAGGAAAAGGGGAATGCGGACAGCATCACAGAAAAAGCCAAATGAACTAGTCCTTTATCCTCAGGGAACCTTTATCTCTGCGGGCTTGAGAGAGAAAAAGAGCTGTCCTGGGAACTTTCCTGGGGTAAAAGAGGTCCTTAGGATTCCTACGGATAAAGGAGTGACCACGACACGCGGGGACCCTTCTCCACATTTCAATTACCAAAGGAGGCGCAGGTGGGGCAGGAGGACTGCAGCCCCTCTCACTCACCACCAGGAGCTGGCTTCGGCCGGAAGCTGAGCCCAGCTGGAGAGCAGCGCAGCGGTGAGCAGCAGCAGGCCGGGCATGGTGGGCCTCGGCCCTCCCCAGTGTCCTGGGGAATGGAAGACCCCCGGGACAGACGGCTTCCAAAACAGGGCTCCCTAGAGAAAACAGAAGTGAAGGGAGAATCAGTATGGAAACGCAACAGATAGCGGAACCAGGAGAGAAGAGCGTGGGCTCTCGGATTCTAACGGCAATTTCTGCTCCCCCAAAGAAATTCAGCCTCTTTCCAATCTCCATCTCCTACCTCCTCTTCTCACCACAAGCTTGCCTTTATGTCTCTTACCCAAAAGTGTGGGAACTCTACTTGGGAACTAATTCCAAAGGAAACAATGAGCTGAGAAACTAGAAAAGAGGAATGAAAACAAATCATTTCAAGAACAGAGTGCGCCCTACGCAGAATTTAGGAAGATGCTTTGGCTGTTGCAATGCACACCTGCCCTTCTTCCAGAGCAGCCAAACAAATGAGTGCCATCGCATCCACTCTTCCCTTTACCTATCACTCCAGCCAGAGATGTCTCTCTCTGACCATCAGGCTCTCTTTTGTGAGTCGGATTTACCTACAGCCAAACAGGAGTCCTCCCTCTCCACCTGTACCCTTCTTACGCTAAACAAGCTTCCCAAATCCCAACCCTTGTTTACCGGATTACTGGTAGAGAGAAGGGTGAGCACTTTTCACTTTCTCAAGGCAACTTCTCTGAGAAATGTAACAGGTGTACAGCAAACCGCCGCCTCTAAACCTCTGGCGGCTGAGCTCTGCCTTCCGAGGTGGCCCCTTCCCTTCCTCTGCACTCTGTGGCCCACAAGGGGCAGCCACGAACCCCTTTCCCAGGAGCACAGCCAGCAGCAGTGGGGGCAGAGCCAGCTCCTGCTCTGCAACCCTTGCATCAAACGTCTGTGCCGAGGATGTGTCTTCCAGAAGCAACAGCCCCTTCCCTGGTAGGGCTCGAGAGCTTCCCACATCTTTGCCGTATGCTTTTTGTAACTAACGCCTCTGCCTGTACCCCCAAAGAACACCTTTCCTCAAACCCTTAAAAACACATAGAGAATCCATGCTTCTGGATCCTAGAGCAAGTCTATAAAAACACGCCTCCTCCCACGCACTCCCACCTCGTCTCTCCCTTAGCTTCCATCCAAGGCATGACCCCACATCTCCAGTGAGTCTTCTTCCCACGACTCCTTAACACCTCCAACCTTACACACGCAAACACACTCGCACACGTGCTCCAAGCTGCCCCACCCCACCTCACCGGGCTGCTCCCACGGTTCTGGGTCTCCAGGCTCTCCGGGAGGGGGCGGCAGGTACTTTGGGTCATCAGCCCAGGGGATATTTTTGTCCTGGGGCCACCAAGAGAGGAAGCTGGCCTGAGCAGGATCCAGGGAACCTGGGCCACGGCCTGTTCCCCACCCCCTTTTGGTTATTCTTCTTGAGGTCTCAGCTGGGGCGGGGGCACCAACAGGCAGGTGTGTGGGGCCGGCAGGGAGCAGATCAAAGAAGAAACTTGCTCTTTCCCCTTTGTCATGCAGAGCCAGCTCGGAAATGATCCGGCCTCTAGGCAGGCCGACTAACAGCTCCCCACACCCAACTTTCCTAACAGACCTCTCTTCCTCCAAAGGATGCCCCTCCCCCTCCACCCTCTACCCCCCATAAATCCTCCCCTCCCTCAGGGCAGGAGGTCTGTGAATGCACCGACTGGAACCAAGAGAGATGGAGCAGAGATAGGACTGGCACCAGAAGCTAATGGCTTTATGGAGGGGAGGGGACCAGGTCCAGAGTAGGGAGGACGAGAGAAAAGCTTCAAAGAGTTTCCTTGTCCAAACATCCTCAACTCCACCTACCAGTCCTCCTTGGGGACTAAGGAGTCAGAGCTGCCCCTATTCCCTGTGGTCCTTCTCCCTCCCCACACTCTCCCTCCCACCCATCCACATGCCTCCCCAGCACCACACCTCCTGCAGACCCCTACTCCCCGCCCCGACATATATCCTCACACATTTCCACACCAGATAGCTGAGTTCTTTCTCCCAACTGGTGACACTTCTTATCTCCATGGATTCCCCCCTCACACCAGCATCTCTCACTTCTGTCACATGCTTCCATCAGGCTCCTGTGAAATCTTTCTGGCTCTGCACGTCCTAGGTTCAACCGAGGCCACATTGGGGGGCCACTGTTTCTGAGCCAAGGACAGGAGTCAGTGCCTGCTAACAGTCACTGTGGCTTTGACTCCCCAGTGACAGGCTGACAGGAGAGCTAAGGCTACACTCCCCAAGAGCTGCTAATCCCGCCCCTCTGTGCCTTATAAACATAAACGGAGACAGGAGTCACTCTTGGCAGCTGTTGCCACCACCCTGTGCTTTCCATCAAACTCAGCTCATTAAAAAAAATATTTTAGGGCCGGCTCCGTGGCTTAGCGGTTAAGTGCGCGCGCTCTGATGCTGGCGGCCCGGGTTCGGATCCCGGGAGCGCCCTGAGGCACCACTTCTCCGTCCAACGCGAGGCCGAGTCCCACGTACAGCAACTAGAAGGATGTGAACCTATGACATACAACTATCTACTGGGGCTTTGGGGGGAAAAAACTGAATAAATAAAATCTTAAAAAAATATATATATTTTAAAAACTTAAAAAAGAAAAAAAAAGACTGGCACATGTGATGGCTTCTCTCTCTGCCTTCCAGATGTGTGGCAGCTGAAATTGAACACCCCCCCACACACAACCCCTCACGATGCTCTCTCTCCTGGCAGACCGACGTGAGCCACCCCTCAGAGTGGTCACAGAACCAAAGCGGGCAGCCTTTTGCCCTCGCTTATATTCTTTGCTTTCCTCGTGAGGGCTGGGAGGAGAAAGGTGAATGTTGGCGATTGGTTTCATCAGTTTTGGCAGAATGAAAACTTCTTGCCTCAACCTGTCTGGGGCAGAAGAAAGCTGTGTGGGGACTGATGGTTTGCTCATAATGAGTAGGACACATTTGGACACAGAAAGCCCTGTTTGTGGGTCACTGGTGAGTTTTACAGCAGATCTCAACCAGGAGAGGTCCTCCTGTGTGGAGGAAGAAAGATCTATTAAATACCCAAAAGAGAGAATTCCTTCTGCTGCCTTTGTAATAACTACAGATTTCCTCAGAGAACTAAAGTTTCCCCTTGCTATGAGAAGTGTCATTTCACACACACCGAACACAGTTCAGGAGGAGGGAACCCAGGGTCTCTCTTCTTTAGTAGTGACAGGAAGGTCAGGGTGTGGGAAGATGCAACATTCTCCATCAGGACCCCTCCAGAGGCCAGAAGGAGCTGGTCAGACATCTGCTCTGCTCTGCTTCTTCATTCAGTGATTCATTCGTTCCATAAATTCATGAATCAAACATGTGTTGGAGGCCTAGGATGTGCCAGTTTCTACTCTAAGTGCCAGAGACATAGCAGTGAACAAATAAATACGTAATATGTTAGGTTCAGTGAAGACTATGCGGAAAAATCCAGCAGGGACAAGAGTCAAGACTAAGGGGGGTAGTTTTCATTATTTAGGGCCTTGGGGAAAGCCATACGCTGAAGTATGTGCCCACCCATCGCTCTGCACACCATGATGTAGGTGAAGGTAACAGGGATGGAACCCTGTGCACATCTCAGGCCCTCTGTGGCATGTCCACATCCTTACTAAGACTGCCTCGCCCCGCGTTACCATCACAACCAAAGGCGCGCACATTTGGAAATAGGAACTCCAGGTTCTCTTCCTTTTTCTGGTTGGACTCAGTCACCAATTTTCATTCCCTTAGGAGGCTGTGGCCATCCAGCCCCGAGATAGGAGAGCAGGGAGAAAGACCTGGACGAGCGGAGCTGAGACCCTAGCAACTCTGTGCTTTCCACACACACTTCAGACAGCGCCTGAGACGAAAACTCCAACCCACGGGACAAGGGCTTGAAAAGGTCACTGGCTGCTCATAAAAACCACTACCCGTATCTTCAGAACTGACTTCCCTCAGAGCCCAAGGACTCAAGCATCTTATGAATTGCACAGAAAATGGTGTAATATCCCATACCTGTCCCCGTGCCCCAGACAAGCACCCTCACACCTAGAAACCTACTGAGAAATAACCAAGAACGTTGATGGGAGCCTTTTCACGGTTGCCACTGGCTACTTCTCACGGTGTGACCCAATGAGGAGCTATTGAATGTGTAATTTAAAAATACATTTGCAATTTTGTTAACATTCCTGGCATAGCAAGGTAGACCATCTTAGCAGTCTTTGAAAAGGGAACACTTCCCTTTGTGAACTCCTGGCTGCACTGCTGTGAAGTGTCTGCCTGTTGTTTGATGGTTTCTGTGGGGGGGGGGGGGACAGGTGGAGGAGGAGCACAAGTGACAGAGCTGTAATCCTGAGTCTTCTCTCCCCCGGGTCACTCCATTTCCACCACCATAAAGAGTAGAGAAAGACTCCTAATGGATCTCAAAAGACTTGACAAACGTCTCCTAAAGTGTACCTCAAGTTCATTCATTTCCTTCCCTATTTTCAAGTAAGTGCTTGCCCTCCTCACATCTGAACACCAGAACAGTTCTTTGTGGTCTAACCCACGTAGCTCCAACACCATTTTTCCTAAAATACTATGCGTATATTGTAATAGTCCCGTTTGAAAACTTATAGTGGTTCTAAGTTCTCCAACCATTCTAAACTTCCCAGCCTGGCCTGATTTTCCCTCTCATTCTTTCCCTGAATCTCCCACTATGGGGTCTCTTTTCCAATCTCCTCCTACTCCTAGAACAAGCCCTGCTTTCCCCCAACAAGACCTCATTCTGATCCTCCTCCCGGGGATGCTTTCTCTTCTTCTGCAATCCAAACCGTAAACTACTTTCAAGTCCATGCTCAAGGTTCATTTCCTCCATAAAACTGTCCTTGATTCATCCAACACCATGAGAATCTTTCCACTTACTTGGTATTTCCTTAGCATTCAGAAATACAGGTTCTAGTCTGCACTGCCCTATCCCAGACATGCTGCCTTGGAACTGTATGTATTTCTTACCTTCCCGGTAGATCCAAAGTTTCCCGAAGGTGCAAACTTCTCACCTACTTTTTCTCTGTGCCCCATTGGGCCTAGTACAGTTT